ATGGTGAAGGAAAGGGAAGCCTGGCACACCACAGTTCATGAGGTCACCAGGAGTCTGACATGACTGAGCAACTGAACAACAACAAATTACATATTTCATTGCAAAAACCAAAACATTATTTCTAAATTTGGTCACTAGATATCAAAACACTGATACACATTCTTAAAAAGCTAATGAATATTTTCATCCATGAAATCCCAAACAACAATTATCACAGTTGTCAACATTTCATAAAACAACTTCTGCAACATATAATTACATTTACTACTAACTAATTTTGGAAGAATGAGGCAGGCAAAGAATATATACACACTGCATTTCTTTTTAAGGAAGAATGTTTATTTAATCATCAAGAAATATTTATCAAACATTTTTCAGTTCAGAGATACTGGGAATATAGGTTTGAACCAGACTAACCACATCCCTGTCCTTGTGGAGTTGTCCACCTCTTGAATGAGTCAGACAAAATGCACACAAAGAAACATGTGAGACAATTATGGACATTGGAAAGTACTCTGAATGAAAGAAACAGATTAATAGAGAAGCTGGTACAAAAAGTATGTACTTTTTTTCTAAATAATAATAACAAGCCTAGTCAGCAAAGTCCTCTGTGACAGAGGGGAAATGATAAGACAGGAGCAGAAGGGTGCATAGGAGCCAGTTATAGCATCAGATAGTTGGCATCATCTTATGAGGAAGAAGCAGCATGCGCAAAGGGCCTGAGGCAAGAGAGAACTCAGTTCATCCAAGAAACTGAAAGAAGGGCTCTGTGGCTTGAACATGGTGACTAAAGGTCTACAAGGACTAGACGTAGTAGTTTACAGTACTAGGTTATAGCAAAGGACAATGATCACTCTGCTGTTTAGAAGATCAAGGAAGTGAGCAAAAGAGGGACTGGCAGGTGACTCAAAAAGCTGGTCTTGTTGGGAAAGGACCTGGACTTGGAATAAGGACTTGGACAACAAGAGTTGGAGAGAGGCGGGCAAGTTTGAGGAAAGACAAACTGGAGAGAATTTTTAGCTGTGATAATAGGGTTCTGTGAAAAGTGTGGGCTGAGGTACAAATTGAGTCCTGTCAGCATATTGATCATATCAATACCTAAGGCTGTAGTGGTGGGCAGAACCATCTGAGGAGAGAATGAAGAAGAAAAAAAAAAAAAAGAAGAAGAGGAGTTCTAAGTCTAAACCCTGAAAAACAGAAGCTGAGGTATGGAAATAAGATAGAGCAAAGACAGGAGACACAGCCACTGACGCCAACCTGTCCACGTTACAAGAAGGTCTGAGAGTTATGTCAGAATGGAAGACAAACAGCTGGTTAGACTTTCTGTCACTGTTCCAGGCTTTCTTCCTTCTTAATTGTGTGAAAACAAAGTATAACTTTTGTTCTTTCAATAGGATGACAAGAAAGGGAAAAGCAGGTGTATTAACATGCCCTAATCCTTTACCTCAGATCTCTGACAAGCTTTAATTAGTTTGCTAGCTGAGGGTTTCCTGAGTAAATGCAATTCTGTCACTTCCAAGCCACTCTGGTGCTTGGTGTAACAGATATTTTTGGTCTCCAGCTTAGATAGCATTTCTACATTATCAAAAATAGTTATAAGCAAATTTGTTAGTTAACCTCCTATGATTTTTCCCTGATATTTTTGAAAAAGTGTGCATAAAATTTAAGAATTGTCTTGTTTCAAGAACATAAAAAAATCATTATTTGTCTCTGACATTAATTTTTAAATTTAGGTTTAAATTCCATTTTCCCATTTAAAATAGCTACACTCACTGAAATGGAAAAATACAAGAGAAAAAAAATACTTTTAGGGCTTGAGATTTTGCCAAACTGAAGAGTTACTGCTAAATTTAGGTATTCACTTTCATAACCACTTAAGAGGAAAAATGGGTTTTCAGATTAACCTATTCATTTGAATGTTAAGGGGTTTCTTTAGGTCATGTTTGCTGAAGAATTAGCTGATGCAAGCAAGAAAAGAAATGAATATTTGACTGTAAAAGTATATTTGGTTATCTCCTGCTTTCTCTCTTTTCTCTGCCCGTTTAACATAGGGAGTTCTCCCTTTCCCTCACCTCCAATTTGTTCCTTTACATTCCTGCCTTTTCACTCTATACATTCTTGGTATTGATGTACTATCAACTTCCAGGTCACTGTTTTCAGCTAATGTTTCCCTTAGGAGCGGCAGATCTACTCAGTCTGTTTAATTCACCTTTAGGTCTTTTATTATGCGATCTAAGTTTCTCTCTTTTTCATCTATAAAGTGGAGAAAATAAGATTGAGTTTACAAAGCTGACTCAAGGAGTAATGAAAACTGGAAATACCTAGCACAGTATCAGGCACCGAGTAACTACTCAAGAAACATTAGAGCCTTTCCCCCTTTCTTTTTAGAGGTTCTAGATTATCTGTGGTCAGTTCCATACAAATAAGAAGAGATCCAACTGAGACCAGAACAGTGAGGACTATTCAAAGCAAAGACAAGATTCTAATGAAAGTAATTTAGAAAGTTTAGCTCAGCAGCTGGGACCAGCCTTATGATGAGCGTCAAAGAATTATATGCAAGGGAAGTCAGGTTTGGCGATCTATGGGAAACCCCCTCAAGCCTTCTTTTTCCTTAAGAATGAGAAATTAATAAGTTGAGATTGTATGTAAAGCACTCATTTCATAGTACCTTAGACTTCTCTTTTATCCTCTACTAAACGGGATTTCTTTTACTAGCATTCATAAAACAGTCACTGTGTTTAAACCAGAAGTTTTTGAAAGTAAATATTTTGATGGACGATAAGTTAGTTGTGTCATTCTAGTTTTTTTTCAGCAACATATTATTTCTTTATATTCTTAGAGTTGGATTATAAGTTTCAAACCTCATTCAATTTCTAGAACATTAAAATAATAAGCTTTCTAGACTTTTAGTAATAATATAAATGCCAGAATAAATGGAACTACATCGAAGTTTTGAGTGTATATAAGTTAGAAAAATTAGCATTCTATCCATACTTAAACAAGTGGAACAAAAATGTCATAAATTTTTTAGCTAAGCAAAAACCCATGAATTTTTTGAAATATATATATTATACAGACTATGTATATGTATACAAAACCTTTTCTACTACACTTGATAAAAGTCTTGAGAAAGAAAAAAATGGAGAAATCGGAAAAAAAACTAAAAAAAATAGGACCACTGAATATGAAACAGAAAAAGTGAACAAACTAGGTAAAAGCAAAAGATCATCATATAGTCTACGTGTTTTTAAGCATGGTTGCTCATTAGAATCATATCTGGAACTCTGGAGATAAAAACAATACCTGAGCATTTGTATGTTTCAAAAAAATTACAGGATAATTCTAATATCCATCTGGATTTTAAACTGATTACAGATTTCTCCATTAAATGGTAGATTTAGGGATACAGAGTTCTGTTATTTTCTGTTGACCAATCATGACACAGTGATAATAAAATGAATACTAGTCACATAATCACAACAGTAAAAGATGTTTATCAGTTTTCACAATCAATAGCCAGACAAAAAAATAAAAGACACCTACAATTGAAAGCCATAATGGAAGTATGATTAAACTAACAATATAAAATATTTACATATATTTGATGGAGTTAAATAGAGTGATGTGGTAAGTGGAAGTGCATACATGCACATGGTCTCATCTGCCCAGCCAGTCTATGTCTTTTGGTTGGTACATTTAATCTATTTATAGTTAAGGCAATTATCAATATGTATAATTCTACTGTCATGTTCTTAACTGTTTGGGGTTATTTTGTGTAGGTCTTTTCCTTCTTATGTTTTTCCTGCCTAGAGAAGTTCCTTTAGTGCTTGTTGTAAAGCTAGAATTCTCTTAACTTCTGCTTGTTTGGAAGGCTTTTGATTTCTCCATCAAATCTGAACAAGAGCCATGCTGGGTAGAGTATTCTTGGCTATAGGTTCTTCTTTTTCATCATTTCAAATATATCGTGCCATTCCCTTCCAGTTTGTAAAGTTTCTGTTGAGAAATCAGCTGATAGCCTGATGGGAGTTCCTTTGTATGTTATTTGTTGTTTTTTCCTTTATTGCTTTTAATATTTTATCTTCATCTTTAATTTTGACCTCTATGATGTGAATGTTGATGTGTTTAATGTTGTCCCATAGGTCCTTAAACTGTCTTCATTTTTTTTCATTCTTTTTTTTTCTATATTCTGTTTTGCACTAGTGATTTCTGCCATGCTGTCTTCCAAGTCACTTATCCATTCTTCTGCCTAAGTTATTCTGCCATCAATTCCTTCTAATGTACTGTTCATCTCTGCTTGTTCTTTAGTGCTTCCAGGTCTTTGGTAAATATTTCTGCATCTTCTCCATTCTTTTTCTAAGATTCAGGATCATCTTCCCTATCACTCTGAATTCTTTTTCTGGAAGGCTACCTATCTCCATTTAGTTGTTTTTCTGGGAGATAACTTTCATCTGGAACATAACCCTCTGTCTTTTCATTCTGATTAACTTTCTGCAAGTTTTCCTTTTGGTGACTGCGGGATGGTAGTACTTCTTGCTTCTTCGGTCTCCCCCCTGGAGGATGAGGCTAAAAGACTTGTGTAGGCTTCTGGATAAGAGGGACTCATGGTAGCAAAAACTGGGTCTTGCTCTGGTGGGCAGGGCCACACTCAGTAAAACTTTAATCCTATTGTCTGCTGATGGCTGGGGCTGGGCTCCCTCCTTCTTAGAGGTTGACCTGAGGTAATCCAGCCCTGGAGTCCACAGAATCTATGATAGGGTTAATGAATACCTCCAAGAGGGATCACATCCAGAGACACCTCCTAGGACTGCGGCTGCCACTGCTCCTGTCCCATCAACAAGCCATTGCCAATCCACACCTTCACGTGAGACCCTCCAACACTAGCAGGTAGGTCTGCTGCAGTCTCCTGTGGGGTCACGGCTCCTTTCCCCTGGGTCTGAACAAGATTTTGTTCGTGCTCTTGAAGAATGGAGATTATACTTCCCCCAGTGCTGTGGAAGTCCTATAGTCAAATCCCATTGGCCTTCAAAGTCAGATTCTCTGGGGATTCTTAGTCCCTTTGTTGGATCCCCAGGCTGAGAAGCCTGTCGTGGGGTTCAGAACTTTCACAAGAATGGGAGAACTTCTTTGGTATTATTGTTCTCCAGTTTGTGGGTCACCTACCCAGCAGGTATGTGATTTGATTTTATCTTAATTGTGCTCCTTCTACCATTTTGTTGTGGCTGGCTTCTTCTTTGTCTTTAGATATGGGGTATCTTTTTTTGGTGGATTCTAGTGTCCTCCTGTTGTTCAACAGCTAGCTGTAGTCTTGGTGCTCTCTCAGGAGGAGATTTAGTTGTGTCATTCTTAATACAGTGGCAAGCATTCTACGTCACTTCAGTCATGTCTGAATCTTTGCGAACCAATGGGCTGTAGTCCAAGAGGCTCCTCTGCCCATGAGAATCTCCAGGCAAGAATACTGGAGTGGGTTGCCATGCCCTCCTCCAGGGGATCTTCCTGGATCGAACTGGCGTCTCCTGTGGCTCCTGCATTGCAGGCAGCTTCTTTACTGCGGAGCCACCTCTAAAACCATAACAATGCCTTACTACTTATTTTTATTGCCCTGGGCTAATGAGATGGGAACAGAGGCAGATGCTATCTGTTAACTGTAGGTATATTTGTGGTAAAAAAAAAAAAAAAAGTGAAATGATGGCATGGTGGACTCAATATTTATTACTTGCATAGTTGGTCCTAATGGTACACATGGTAATGAGCATTTGCCAAAGACAAAAGACCTAGAACTAAAGTAGTTACCACCATGTCTATGTTGCATCCAATGATTTAAGGTCAGAAAAACATCATCCATCAAATTAATATCAATTTCAATTTTATTTTGTTTTTGTTACTTATTTTACAAATTTCTTTATGAATAAAAATACATGCAAACATAATTTCATGTTTTTAATACTACTTGAAGCTGACTCTAAGATTTGGGAGGCTTTTTTGGCTTTCATTTTGGGTTTAAAAGGATTCTACACATGACTCAAGTTTCAAAACTTTACTAATACAGCTGGCCTCATAACAAAAAGAACATCACTCCCATCTGGTGGCAGACATCAAAATTTTGAACATAATCTCAAAACAGAAATTAATCTTAACTCTAGACTAGACACTAGTCAATTAAATTCCTATTTCAAAAGTGACAAACAATATAACTGCCAAGTAATCCAACATATGACATCAATTCAAAGAAGTGCTTGAAACATAATGAATTACTTTTAGTTGTGGGTACCAAACATTAAAAAAAGTACAACTTAAGAAGTGTTAATATTAGGAAAGGAAACCATAATTGTAAAATATTAAAAACACTTTATAGCTTTTCAATTAAATATTAATATATGTCATAAGGTAAACTTCCCAAAGCATAATCTCTTTCAGTCAGTTCAGTTCAGTTCAGTCGCTCAGTTGTGTCCTACTCTTTGCGACCCCATGAATCGCAGCACGCCAGGCCTCCCTGTCCATCACCAACTCCCGGAGTTTACCCAAACTCATGCCCATCGAGTCGGCGATGCTATCCAGCCATCTCATCCTCTGTCGTCCCCTTCTCCTCCTGCCCCCAATCCCTCCCAAGCATCAGGGTCTTTTCCAGTGAGTCAACTCTTCGCATGAGGTGGCCAAAGTATTGGAGCTTCAGCTTCAGCATCAGTCCTTCCAATGAACACTCATGACTGATCTCCTTTAGGACGGACTGGTTGGATCTCCTTGCAGTCCAAGGGACTCTCAAGAGTCTTCTCCAACACCACAGTTCAAAAGCATCAATTTTTTGGTACTCAGCTTTTTTCACAGTCCAACTCTCACATCCATACATGACCACTGGAAAAACCACAGCCTTGACCATATGGACCTTTGTTGGCAAAGTAATGTCTCTGCTTTTTAATATGCTGTCTAGGTTGGTCATAACTTTCTTTCCAAGGAGTAAGCGTCTTTTAATTTCACGGCTGCAGTCACCATCTGCAGTGATTTTGGAGCCCCCAAAATAGTCTGACACTGTTTCTACTGTCTCCCCATCTATTTCCCATGAAGTGATGGGACCAGATGCCATGATCTTAGTTTTATGAATGTTGAGCTTTAAGCCAACTTTTTTGCTTTCCTCCTTTACTTTCATCAAGAGGCTTTTTAGCTCCTTTTCACTTTCTGCCATAAGGGTGGTGTCATCTGCATATCTGAGGTTATTGATATTTCTCCCGGCAATCTTGATTCCAGCTTGTGCTTCTTCCAGCCCAGCGTTTCTCATGATGTACTCTGCATATAAGTTAAATAAGCAGGGTGACAATATACAGCCTTGACGTACTCCTTTTCCTATTTGGAACCAGTCTGTTGTTCCATGTCCAGTTCTAACTGTTGCTTCCTGACCTGCATACAGGTTTCTCAAGAGGCAGGTCAGGTGGTCTGGTATTCCCATCTCTTTCAGAATTTTCCACAGTTTATTGTGATCCACACAGTCAAAGACTTTGGCATAGTCAATAAAGCAGAAATAGATGTTTTTCTGGAACTCTCTTGCTTTTTCAATGATCCAGCGGATATTGGCAATTTGATCTCTGGTTCCTCTGCCTTTTCTAAAACCAGCTTGAACATCTGGAAGTTCTCGGTTCATGTATTGCTGAAGCCTGGCTTGGAGAATTTTGATCATTACTTTACTAGCGTGTGAGATGAGTGCAATTGTGCGGTAGTTTGAGCATTCTTTGAGATTGACTTTCTTAGGGATTGGAATGAAAACTGACCTTTTCCAGTCCTGTGGACACTGCTGAGTTTTGTATTCAAATCCTTTTTTTAATATATGTTATTTTTTCTTTAACAAGGAAAGATATGGAGGTTTTAAATAAAGTTACGATTTTTAAGTTAACTTATTCAGCCACAAAACCTTCTAATAAAGACATGTAAACATTCTTCAAAGTCAGAAAAATAGCATTTAAAAATTAAAATGGGAATTGGTATTTTAAAAACAAAAACAGGAAAATATTTGGAAACAGGTTAACCACATTATACCTAAATTTAATCAAATAAATAAGTAAGCTTAATAGAATTCCCGTTGTCTGCTTTTAGTACATTCTTCACTTTCACACAGTTCTAATCCTCTGACAAAGATGAATAATCAACTTATTTCAACATTATAGTATCACCACAGAACCATCCAAATGTTTTAATCTTCGAATCTCATGAATAAAACATGAATTAAGGTAGTTTCAATAGTGATATTTTCTGGACAGATGGAGAAAGAATATAATGAGACTTCATTTCATACTTTTTTTCTTTAGGTAAAGTCATATACAAAATATTTTGTAAACAATATAAGAGAGAATATGATATAACATAAAAAAACACATACTGACTTAATTCTCAGAAGTTACTTCATTTCTGAGTATCAGTTTATTTCTCTAATCACTTTCCAACTTTAAATTCTCTCATTTTAAAGCTAAATCTGTTTCCCTGATTTTAAACGAACAGAAGAATTTAACTATCATTGTGAGTCACACATAGGTAATTCCTGTATAAGGACTTAATACAAAATGGGGGATAAAATAAGTTATTTTTTAAAGCATAAAATTGAATTTGTAAATTTTGAAATAATATTTTAAGTATACGATGTTCTAATTATTTAGCTTTTGAGATAAGTATTAACTTTTTAAAGTTTAAAAAGACCTAACTATAGAAGGCATTAGAGCCCAATCTAATAGGGCCCCATGGACATTACTGAAAATAATACAGAAAAAGATTAAAGAGAGCTCCTCTTCTCAGGAGGTTCTTTCCCCATCAGGCCAATTTAGAACAGCTCATTAAACATCAATGGTATTATTTTATCAGATGCTTAGGGTTATTTCTTAAGTTGCATATTCATCTTTCTATAGACATACAAGGAACAAAATGCTAACAAATTTCATCCTATCCTATTGTGATGGCCTTAGCTTCATTAGTTTACTAAAATGTTTAAGGCTGAATTCCAGTAATTTTAGAAGTTTCTCCCTTTGTTATCTTTGATTAAATGTAAAACAAATAATTCTTCTAAATCTACATTAAAATGTTTTTTTTCTAAAAAAAAATCCAGTGAATCCCTATTTTATACATGGCATCCAATTCCTAGTAATAATTAATTACTATCAAGTCACATCTATCAAGTAATGAAGCCATTACTATCAAGCTAGTACTACCAAGTAATAAAGAACATTGCATAAGAGCAAACGTATATTACTATGAAGGACAGGGAAGCCTGGTGTGCTGCAGTTTATAGCATTGCAGAGTTGGAGATGTCTTAGTGACTGAACAACATTACTATGAGAACACTGTCAGACACTTCACAAATCATTTTAAAGGACTGTCTCAGGTACCACTTTAATAATATCATGACGTATCCATAACTTACATATGAGGACAGATTAAGTAACATATTCAAGTTTTTGATTCACAATCAAGCCTTCCTAACTTCGAGGCCTGTATAAACATAATCAATACTTCAATGGTGTGAAAATAATTATAAAATTGCAACTTACAAAGCTACAAAATTTAGATAGATTTTGCATCACAAGAATAATGGCCTTCTGTATATACTTTTTAATTACAAAAAGAATATTTACATTTTCATTTCTAACTGTTTTGTATAGACAAAACTATTTTTGTATATTTATACTATATCTGGCTATCTTACCGTATTCTCACATTAATTTCAATGGTACACAATAATATTATAAAAGAAAGATTTTATCTGTCCTGTTCCTATGTTTACATGACATATTCCTTTATCTTAAAAGCTTGATCTTGTTCTTATTTAAAGTTTTTATTAGAAAAGACTACAAAATTCTGTCAAATGTCTGTTTAGTATCCCAGCGTATAATCTATCGAGGAACTAAAATATTTTTGCTTCCTGATAATAGACTATCATTATATTCCTTAAAAAGTCTTATTTTGTTATGAATATGTTAAACTTTTGATACACTGCTGGATGATACCTTCTATATTTTATGTAGAACTTTTTTTGCATTTAAATTCAGAAATAAGATTGAATTATCACTGTTCTTTTTTAAAGTTATTTTAGAGTGTCTTGAATTTTTAATATAAAAGCTATGTTTCTTCAAGAACTACTGAGGAGCTGTTAAATTTTTTCTACAGTTGAAGCAGAACTTTAAGTAACATTGCAAT